CACACCAAGGGGACCCCCTGGAGAGAGGAGGGACAAGCAGAACCCTCAAAGGGACCCTTTGCACATAAAACCACTGGGGGACACGGGCTGACTTCAGGGGAGTAGTGTAGGATACATAAGTACACCACAGTTGAGGCATCATGGATTTTTAAAACCCATGATGTTCAACTAAAAATTCAGGAGATGCAGGAGAAGATGGACACTGGTGAGTTCCAGTCAAGTTGCTACTATCCTGTGAAAACTCAACAAATAAGGCAAAAATTCAAACGAAAAGAAAATATTGAAGAAAAGAGAGTTCAGTTGGTTAGGTCCAGGAGATACAACAAGCCCAAACTAGGAATTCCAGAGGGTGCAAAATAAATGGAAGGAGAGGCAATAATTCAATCAATTAAAGAAAATGACATTAAGTGGATGATTTGACTCTCTAGATTAAAGGGTTTTACTACATTCCTGGTGGGATTGTTGAGAACTTTACCTATTTTGAGAAAAGTCTACAGCTCTTAGAAATAAAGAGAAATACAAGACTGTAGATAACATGATTTCATAAAAAGAAGAAGAGAATCAGAATGGCACATAAGCAAAAAGGTTGTGAAAGCACAGCGATTGGCGACTGACTTTGAAAAAATTATGATTTTCTTGGACAGGTACAAAACAAATTTAGGGATATCCATAGTTTCTGTTATCATTTGCTGCATAACAAAACAGATCAATACTTAGTGATTTAAAGTGACACTATTTCTCATGATTCTGTTGGTTAGTTGGGTAGTTTCTTTTCTAGTCACACATCAGTGCTTGCACTGACTATAGTTTCTTACTTTCTGTATTCTCGCTATTCCGGCCCCACTGAGCTGTGTGGGGAGAGATGTCTCTCCTGGGCTAGCCAGTTCTTAGAGTGAACGGAGCCCATGCTCCTGACCACCCCCTCTCTGGCTCTTACACTCTGAGAGACAATATTCCTCTGCCCTCATCACTGCGGGCCACGTACCAGACAGCTAGGGACAGTCTTTACCCCAGAGCCCACCAGGACCATTCTACCCAGCTAATCCTAAGCTTGCTCATCTTGCTTTGCATGGTGTTCCCTGCAGAAACCACAATGAAATCTCTTGCCCATGATTTCCCCTCACTCCCTCTACCTCCTGACCTACCTGGTGCTTCTTCATGTGGTGCTGCATGCCGTGCCACGCCTCCGGCATCTAGAGAATTGCAGGTGAAACTTCTTTCATGACAGTCATTTCCATGTCTGCATGTCTTACCATACCTGATTGAAACAATTCCTGGCAAAACATGTCTGCATTCAGCTGGACAGTCAGCTAGGGGCAGAGCTCAGCTAGCCTCAGGGCAGCAGACGGGATGGCTGGGTCTTTCTCTCCCTGTGTGACCTTCAGCATTAGGAAGGTGATGCTGACATCCGGTGTGCCCTATTGTGCCCTAATGTGCAAGCACTTCTTCAGTTTTTCTCCTTGAGTCATGTTTGCTGATGTCTCATTGCTGAAGTCACATGGCCAAACACAGACTCAGTATAGGAGAGGACTATGCAAGGGCACAGACACCAAGTGGTGTGCTTCACTTGGGGCCATGAGTATAACAGTCCACCATGACCACTAGATGAATGGCCATATATATATTCGACCTACAGTTTACAGATCAGTAAAGGAGTAAGGGGAGGAAATACAGAAAAACAGTCCAACAGAAGATTGGAAATGAGAAAAAAGAAGCAAAGATAAGGGTGGTAAATAGAATCTAAATGAAATGTAAAAATAAGTCTGGGTCATTAATTAAGATAAAAAGGGAAGGCTCAACTGTTTCTGTAATATAGAAAATTATGCTTAAATACCTGGATAGTAGATTCACAGATGTTTCTTACTTTATTTTCTTTACTTTTCTGTATTTTTGAAATATTTCCTAATTTAAAAATATGTATTTAAAAAGGAGTAAAGAAAAAAAAGCAATCTTACAAGAGGGATTAGTTTAAAAATCTTAAGAAGTGAAGAGTAGATCATACCAAATACTGGGGAGAATACGGAGCAACAGGAATTCTCTCACTGTGGGTGGAAATGCAAAATGGTACAACTGCTTTGGGAAATGCAATGCTAGTTTCTTACAAAAGCAAACATATCCTTACTCTACAACTTAGCAATTGCACTGTTTAGTTTTGGCCCAAATTAGTTAAAAATTTATGTCCACACAAAAACTGCCCACGAATATTTATAGCAGCTATATTCACAATTGACAAAACTTGGAAGCAGCCAAGATGCCCTTCAGCTGGTGAATGGATAAACAAACTGTGATACATCCAGGCAACAGAATATTATTCAGCAAAATTAAAAAAAAGAGAGAGAAATGAGCTATCAAGCCATGAAAATACATGAAGAAACCTCAAGTGTATGTTACTAAGTGAGAGTCCAATCTAAAATGACAACATACTGTATGATTCCAACTATATGACATTCTAGAAAAGGAAAAACTATGCAGACAGTAAAATGATCACTGATTCAGTGGTTGCCAAGGTTTAGGGTAGGGAAGGATGAATAGACGGATGTGTTTACAGCAGGAACTACTCTGTACGATACTGTAGTGGTAGATCCATGTCAAAGCTCACTGAATGCATAGTAAAGAGTAAATCCTAATTAAACTGTGGACTTTAGTTTATAATAGTATATCAATATTGGCTTGTCAGTTGTGACACATGTACCACATTAATGCAAGATATTAATAATTGGGGAAACCGTGGGTGGATATGAGGTTAGGGTATGTGTGGGAACTCTATATTTTTCATTCAATTTTTCTGAAAACCCAAAACCTCTCTAAAAAATAAGGCCTACTGATTACATGAAAGTGAGGAGCAAGGCTAATAATTCCCTGAACTCAAAAAATTCCAACTTACATAATCCTTCCAAAAAACAAATGAGGTCAAAGAACAGATTCAATATTTCAAATAAAATGCCATAAAACAACTGAAGAAAAAGAAAAGTAGCCTGCTGATAGGATCAGGAAAAATGAAAGAAGAACAAAATGGAGAAATAACAAAAAACGCAAACAACTGAATTTATTTTCAGAGATCTAGTAGGCAAGCTAGAGGAAACCACACACACAAATGCTGGCAAGTATCTGCGGTTTAAAGTCATTACAGAAAAAAGCATAGGTATGAAAGACAAAAACGGTATAATGTATAAATACTTAGTTTTCCCAAAAAATAGAACAAAACAATGGAATAAGAAGAATGCTCATGCTGTAAAATAAGTGTTTTCAAAAAGGTGAAATAAACCATAAAACTTAAATGGTATGTTCTTTCTCAAATAAAATTGATACAGAAAAGCCAACATTAAGATGTAGGCAAGTAAGATTATTCAATTATTCTAAGTAGTGAATAATTTGAATCAAAGTTTGGGACAAGCATGTGTTGCAGACTCTCTCCCTTGATTTCAACCCTGAAGATGCCACAGGAGCAACATAAGTTCTCATGTCTCCTCTACCAGAACTTAGGGTAGAGGAAACATGAGAAAGCCTTAGCAAGGTAGAAGGCTTTCTGTTTCATTGTCCAGGAGGAAGATGGTAGCCTAGGCAGGAAGAGGGCCTGTTGCTACAATGGGAAATCAGCTGGGAGGGGCTTCTTCCCTCATGGCTGTCCTCCACCACCTTCCCTGACACAGAATACAGTTTAGGCAAGCAGCCCTTAGAAACAGTTGTACCCTGAGCTCAGATCCTTGCCAGTTCCCCTGAAAGGTGGGGTCATCTGAAGTTGGGAGGGCAGGAGGCTAGGTAGGTAGTAGTTGAGTCCCATCTGTAATGCAATTTCTCTTCCACCCTGAAAAACACATCTAGGGGCACAGTCTAGAGCTTGGGCTGTCCTTCTCCAGATATGTATTATCAGCTGATAGCCTCAAGAAGCATGAGCTCACTGAGAAAAACTAGACAACTGAAGCATGCAAATAAGCAATTTAAAAAAATAATTAGAGATGCCAGATAAAACATAAATAATCACTGAGATAATACGTTGACTTGAAGAATGGATATCATCAAAGAAGGAGCTAGCAACACTATCCGAGAAGAAAGCAGAACTAGTTTCATAAAATTCGAAGTAGAAAAAAATATGTAACCCAAGAATTTTATACTCAGTCAAGTTTTTCTTCAAGTGAAAGAAGGCAATAGAAAGACATTTTTAATGTGTCAAGAGGTACAGCATCCACAAACACTTCTCAAAGTGACATCAACCATACCATTTATTTCATAAATTCTAGCCAACTATAATACATATCAAAGATGAAGTTCTCAGATGGCTTGGGTCCTTTGAGTCCCATAGAAATAAAACACAAGTAAACAACTCATGAAATTGTGATTAAGGGTGTAAGTACTATCAACCTTGGTAAAGTAGAATAAAGTAATACACTAGTTACTTTTTAAAAGTTAGAGGGGGTGAAAACAAGTATAAATTTGCTAATTTACTCATTTTTAAAAGCAAGAAATAAATTCTGTCTATAAGTAGACTATGTAGTTTTAAAAAATGACTCTAAACACATGCATTTTATTTTCTTCTTAGCATTAGAGGTATCTTTTAGGAATTCAATACTCCTAGGTATGAAGAGACATGCATTACTTTAATAATTCTTTCATTTTCAAATTGAAGTTATCTATAGTTAGCATCTTAAACACACACACATACACACATACACACACAGATATGGAATGATCACTCATATCATGGTAGAACATTACTATTTTGTGCTCCCATTAGGGAAAATAAAAGGCAGGGCACTATATACCTGTTTCCTTGTCTTTGCCTAAAATATTCAGCAGTGATGTTTGCCTATAGAGAGAATGACTTGCGGTTTAAGGTCAGAGAGTAATACTTTCCTTTCTTTGCTTAAATTTGATTTTGATCAATATTTGTGTAAATGTTTTCATCATTAAAGAAAAAGAAAAAAACTAATGTAATAAAGAGGAAATAATAGATGATAAAGTAGAAACTGTACACATGTTTGGCTATGAAGAAGAGAGACAATACAGGAGCAAGTCTGAATGCCAATGTGCACCATACCACAGAGGTCAGGCGGACACAGGGTAGTTTCCCTGGTGAGTGTACACACTGTTTACTAGGGAGAGGCCCTGGGACCAACACCTGCAGAGTGGGGGTGGGGCTGGGTAGAGGAAGCAGGCTTGGGCAGAGGGAGAAACCGGACTGGGTTGCAGGCCCACCATCCTTTGCTCAGACAGCCCTTCAGAGATGTCTGCATCTGGCTGGGACGACCAGGCCTTTACTTCTGGATCAGTCATTTGGTGGGGTCCCCTGGGAAGGGCCATAGCCTTTGGCCTGGCTGCTCTGTGCAGCCGTTCTCTGAAGTTGTGGCAGTGCTGACGGCTGGAGGCTGTGGGTTGACAGTATACCACAGTTGGGGCAGGACGTCCCTCACTGACGGATCTGGGTGTCACCTCCGTATCTACCACAGGGGACACTGATGACTAGAGGCAAGGAGATGGGAAAAGTGACTTTCTTGAGGTAAGCACAGCAGAGACGCAGTGATGGGATCATTCTACTGTGGAGAGGGAAGGAGGGGCAGGGACGGTGTCAGTCAGTCTCCCAGTTTGGTCTGGGAAGGTGTAGACAGTTCCCTCAGCATTTGTGTTCTCAAAGAAGCTTTTAGAAATGCTATCTTGCGGGAGAGAAGAAATGCTTGTCTCAGGGATTGGGAAAGTGGGCCTCCTGGAGACACTTAGGAGAGTTGAAGGGCACCTTTTTGTGACCACAGTAAATTTGTGGTGGGAAAATTAATGCAGACTGATCACCTCTATTTAGTGATTTCCTCCAGTACACCAGCAGTCCAGGCCAGGAAGGTGGAAGGCAGGCTTGGTGGTGGAGGATTTCCCAGGAGAGAAGAATGGAGGTGTGGAGGGGCTGAGAGCATTTTCAGGAGAGGCACACGAGAGCCAGTACTGAGGCTCAGGAGGATTGTGTAACTTCTTCAATGTCACACAGCCAGTGAATGGTTGAGAACCAGATAAGGAAAAATCAGGAAAAATCAGGCAGCTCTGGTGTATCACGTGTCAGGGTCCTGGCAGGAATGCCATGGCTTATCCTGACTGGGTAGTTTGAGGAGCGTGTGATAAAAGGACTACTTACAGCGCCGCTGCAGCAGGGAAGAACACACTTGCCTTGGCACTGGTCAGGGTGCTGCCACCCTAGGCTGTAAGAGGTCATGGGGGCAGACATTCCAGGAAGGCTTTATGGACAGGACTTCCCAGCAGGGACGTCCAGGGGACTTCCAGGGGACGGCAGCAGTCAGTCTTTGTGACCCAGGCAAGAGGGAGCCTGGAGCATATATCCCTCTCCCTCAATCTGCTGCCCACCATCGCTGCCCTGTTCGGCAGGCGGCAGGGACCCTCTGGACCAAGCAGGCTGCAGTGCTGAAGAGGGATTGGGAATCGACGCACAAACTTGATTCTTCAGGACACAAGCCACCAAACCAGCCTGGGCGTCAAGCTTCGTTTATCTGTAAGACAAGAGCAATCACCCCTCTTTTGTGATCTGTAGAGGGCTCCTCCTAGACGGTAGCGTTTACTGGGAGGACCCGCTGCCTAGAGCCCCAGAGTCGCGGCGCGGGTGCAACTGAGACCCGTGCGCCCGCGGTCCCACCGGCGCAGATGGAGCTCGGCGCTGCGGAGCAGCTCCTTGCTCTCGGCGGAGCCCCCAGCCACTCTCACAAGGAGTTTCTGGTTCCCGCTTCGGCTTGGCCCGCGGCCGCCGCCAGCAGCTCCGGGCGCGCGGCCCGGCGCCCTCCCGGTGCGGAGGAGACCGGGTTCCGCGGCTTAGACCAGCGGAAACTGGGCCGCAGGGGTTTGGGGTGCTCCTGGAGCGGAGGGGAAACGCCCCTTCCCGGTGTGCCGTGGAGAAGAGCTGGCGCTCTGCGCGGGTCTCCGCTCCCGCCACCTGACAGCGGCCAGAGCGCCCCCTTGCGGGCGGGCATTGGAGCCGCCGCCACGACCGTCCCCCGCAGAGGCCTCCACCAGGGCGGGGCGAGCTTGCAGCTGCGAGCCTCCCCGAGGGGCCGCCTCGCGAGGGGGAGAGGGGACGCGGGGGAGGAGGAAGGAACGGGTTCCGGTGACAGGAACTGGGGCACCGCGCCTCCGGCTCAAGCCGCCCCAGGAAATGCATGTTTGATGGCCCCGCAGGGTGTCACGGTGGGGCGCGGGCCAGGGAGACTGTGGGTGACCAGGCGGAGCTGCCAGGGGACTCGGTCAGCTGCGGCGCCTCCCCTCCCGAGCCCAGAATCAGAGGAACATCAGGTAGACAGTATCGCGGGGATCTTTTGGCTCAAGTCCCCGATTTTACCGATGGGGAGTTTTAGGGCCAGAAAGTGACCCGACTGGGATCACACACGAGTGGCTGGCAGCAGGTCCGCCGAAAAGAGGAAAAGGAGCGGCCTCCTGAGGGCGGCCCTGTCCCTTTCTGAAGGAGAGGGGCTGCTACCAGATTAGCATCCTCAGAGGCCCCGGGTGAGCCATACCCCGTTGGTCATCCCAAACCAACCAACCAGAATAAAACAAGCCTTACAGGTGCGCTGAGAACGTATTATTTCCTTTATATATTTGCCAAGGGCAAAAATTTTGAATAATTCCATTAACGGTAAACGTTTTCTCCAGGTTTGGGCGACAGCGCTTTGCTGATGGCCAGGTTCAGAGTCGGTGGAACCCAGCACTTCTAAGCAAAGGTTCAGGGCAGAGGCTCAAACTGGATTCAACGTCACCTGCGTCCAGGGTTGAGTCTTGAGCTCTGCATGTGCAGATGGGACGATCAGAGAGAGATGGCCTTTGTCAAGGGTAGAACCAGAAACGGCAGCCGTGCAGGGGGATTTGGGGACGCAGTCTGAGCACAGTGGGCGGAAAGGGCCACAGCGTCAGGTCGCAGCCCTGGCCCTGCTCCTCCGCCGCCGCTGCACAGTTGCCCAGGCCCCAGATGACCCGCTGACCTCGGCGACAGAAATCCCTCGGCGCTGCGCGCGCCGAGAACTGCCTCAAATGTTGTCGCCGGCGGAACAGAATGTGCGCGGGGTGGGGGCGCGCGGCGGCTGGGCTCTGGGGTGCTGGGCTCTGCGGAGCGCTCAGAGCAATTTCCGAAGCCCACGCCTTTGCTTCCACTCTCTCCCTCCCTTCACCCTCGGGGGAAAAAATCCTAAATATATCCGGTGGCCTCGATTTGTAATCCCTCATTTTTTTTCCTTTCACCCTGGATTTCCTAACCCTCAGGATAGACACCGTTTTTATTAGGACTATCAAATCCTTTGGGGGGGAAAACACTATCAGATTCACATCCAACCAGGCCTGCAGTTAGCTACGTTGGGAGGTGCAAGTCTCTTTAACACATACAAATCATAAACCCGTATTACCCGCACCCCCAAACCCACAAGTCAACAAACTCGTAGTCGCCTAAAGATCGAAGATACAACTTCATTCCCTGTTGAAATAACGTGAATTTTGAGACCCACTTTTTGGACACGCTAACATTTCCCTCTCGCATTTCCAAAATAGAGTCGGACTAATGCTCAGAAATACATACTTCTGTTTTAGAAGTTTAATTAAATAAAAAAAATTAAGGGCGCATCAGTCACTTCCGAAGAACAAGCACAACATCCCGGCCATAGGGGTAAGGAGAAGCTGGAAAGAAATTCTCCTTGCGGATATGGAAGGGGGAGGAAAATCCTCTACCTAAATTATTTCCCCCTCACCAGTTTTGTAGGAAAGTGTCTTGGGCGCAAGGTAGTTTACAAGGAGGTAGCGCGGAGCACAGCTCGGCGCGTGAGTCCCGGGGTGGCCGACGCCGGGGTCCGTCCCGCACGTGCTCGCACAGGAGGTGCTAACGGCAGACTGGCTTTCTCAGGGTGCTCCCGACGCGGGGGAACGGCCCCGGAGTCGGGCTGCGGGCACCCGGGACACTTGGAGACGTTTACTCAAGAAGGGGGTGAGAGTGCGCGGGGGCTGGCACGGAACTAGCTTGGGTCGGCGCGGCAGAGGGACAGGGCTCGGGCCGGTGGGCTGCGCTCGCTGGCGCGGACAGGGCAATGGAGCGTGGGCGGAGGCTCGCGGTGAGTCACCTCGGGGGCGCCACTCAGCCAGGGGGCCCACTGGGGTCGGGATCGGAAGCGGCATCTGTCCCGGAACCGCGCGAAGCCGGACGTTGGAGCCCGCTGGCCCCGCCGGGCCGTCTGCAGGCGTCGAAAACTTTCCTAACACTCCCGGTAGGAACTTGAGCCTCCCAAGTTCCTCGCTCCGAAGGGACGCAGCAGGGCTCGCCCCCGCGGCCGCGCGCCCCCAGAGAGCGGTCACAGCTCCCAGAAAGGGGGTCCCCGCCGCCCCGCGCCCGGAGAGGGTCGCTGTGGGAAGAGGACCGGGGAGAGAGGCCCGAGCGGACTTCCGCAGTTCAGTAAGTGCAACTCCGTGATCGATATGCTCCGATTGACGTTTGACTTAAAAAAAAAAAGGTGGGAAAAACACCTAATAATTAGTGTAACTGGTCGGCAAACCAAACTGTTACCTAAATGAAGGCTAATGTTGTCTTGAATATTTATTTATTCAGGAAAAAGGGGAGATGGAGTATTTGCTTAAAGTTTACGTCCCCAACAAACTTTCCACACGTGCCTTTCACACTCACTTTTCTGACAGGAGACTTTTGAGGACACCGTATCTCGCTGTTAATTTCTCCCTTCGCGCCCCCCGTTTCTGTACCTAGGGTAGATTTTTCCAAAGGACAGTTTACCCGGGTTCCAGTTAAACGGCAACCCGAGAGAAAGAACTCCTGCCAGAGAATAAGAAGGAAAAAAATTTTAAAAAGTTGACAGGGATTTCCAAACATGCTTTCCACTTAAACTTCCAAAACCTGTGCCTGTCCCGGAGGGCGCCCCCTCCGAACCTCCGGCACAGGGTGGGCTGTTTGGGGGGCTGCAGGCACCTCCCGCCCGGCTCTTGCTCCTCCAACGTCCTCCCCACTCCACGAGATAAACTCGCATCACACGCCCGCCCGCGAAACATCTGGATGGGGACTCGTGTCCTAACGTATGGGCAGCCACAGTCTCGGCTGGCTCCTGGGGCGCGAGCGCCGAAGCGCACCGCTCGGCGGGGTGGGACACTCCCCGTGCTGGGTCACTCCAGCATCCTTCCGACCTGTCACCAGCTTCTGTCACCAGCTCCTGGCTCCGCCCCTCTGAGACCGCCCCTTGCCCCACAGCCAATAGCAACCCTCGACCGCTCTCCACCGCTCCAAATCTTTTCCACACCCCCACGTTCCGGGAGCCGGTTGGCTGCCGAACCCTTTGCGGAGCGCCTGTATTTGCATGGAGCTCGGGGAGTCTGGTAGGTGGAGCGACCCGTCGCTCCGGAAGGCAGGGCCCGCCCACTCCACTTCGGTCAGGGGCTCTCTTCCTGCGCAGTTCTTCGCAGCCTCCGCGGGGAAGTGCCGGCGCAGCTCTCAGGCTCAGGTCGCAGGTCCGCGAGGAGGCAGCCCAGACGAGCCACCGTGCGCTCCGTCTGAAGTGGCCAGGGCACAGAAGGGCAGCGTTCCGGCCCCGAGCTGGGCATCGCGCAGCAGGAACAGCCCCTCGGCTAGCAGTTGCCGCCACCCGGACTTTCTCTCCAGTTGCGTCTCCGCCCGGGCAACATGTCAGAAGCCGCCGCAGCTACAGCTGCCGCCGCCACCTGGGGAAGAGCAGTTGCAGCCGCTGCGCCGGCCACGGGCGTACGGAGTCAATAAGCCGAACTCCCCGGGTGTCCTCTCCGCGCTCACTGCTGCGGCGGGACCCGCGCCATGTGCTGAGCCATGTACCTCGCCGCGCCCGCGGGCAGCGCATGGGGCAGCGCCTGAGCGGCGGCCGATCCTGCCTCGATGTCCCCGGCGGGCTCCTACCGCAGCCGCCGCCGCCCCCGCCAGCGGTGAGGAGGAAGCTAGCGCTGCTCTTCGCCATGCTCTGCATCTGGCTGTACATGTTCCTGTACTCGTGCGCCGGCTCGTGCGCCGCCGCGCGGGGGCTGCTGTTGCTGGGCTCGGGGTCCCACGCCGCCCGCGCTCCGCCAGCCCAGGCCACGGGTGCCGACGGGACTCCCCCCAGGCTGCCGTTCCAGGCGGCGCCAGTCACCTCGTTGAGTGCAGGCAGGGACATTGCCGAGGGCGCCGCGAGTCAGGAGGAGCAAAGTCCCGAGGCGCCGGACTCCCCAAGCCCCATCTCCAGCTTCTTTAGTGGGTCCGGGAGCAAGCAGCTGCCTCAGGCTATCATCATCGGCGTGAAGAAGGGCGGCACGCGGGCGCTGCTGGAGTTCCTGCGGGTGCACCCAGACGTGCGCGCCGTGGGCGCCGAACCCCACTTCTTCGACCGCAGCTACGACAAGGGCCTCGCCTGGTACCGGTGAGTTTCTCCGCCAGGGGCAGGGTTAGGGGCGCCCGACGCAATCCAGACGTGGAGAGGAGGGAGACGTGGCAAGTGCTGGGGAAGTGACATTGGGGGGGAGGGGGAACAGCCTCGGACCACCGGGGACAGGGAGGGGCAGAGGGACGACAGCGCGGTGCAGGCTCGGTGGTGGTGTGGAGAAACCCGCCCCAGCGCGGTTCGGGGTGCACGGGGCTCCGCTCTCGCCACCACCCAGAGAAACTTTTCGAGGAGCTCCGAAGGCTCAGTGGTCCTAGGGGCCCTAGATGAATCAGGCGAGCTCTCCTTGAAGAGGGGGCAGCGACAGGGATGACGCTTAGGGAAGCGCGCAACTCCCTAACTGTGCCCGGGTCCCAAACCAAACAATTCAGTATTCCTTGGGATTTTATTTTTCCTCTAGGAGCCAGGGGTGTTCTGCGCCCTCCCGGTCGCGGCTTCCTCCCGTGACCACCTTTTAGAGCAGCTCCCCATATGGGGATGGGGTGGGAGAGACCGCAGTTATTAACTTTTCTGGTACAGTGCTCCCCCTTGCTGGAACCCGAAGAGGGTCAGATCAGCTTCACTGGAGAGCTGCACGGGCTCGGAAGGACGGGCTGGGCGGGTGGCCCTGAGTCTACGCCCCGCGGACCGGCTGCGCGCTGAGCGTGGAGCGGTGCTGGTCCCTGTCGGGCAAAGGCACGTACTGCAGCCGGCAGCCACGGCGCGCGGCTTTGAAGGCTTCACGGCGTCCCGGGCACAGCCCATCGGTTTCCGCCACCTCTGGGTGCTGGGAGAGCCCGGACAGAGACGTGAGTCTCCGCTGGCCCTTTATTCGTCGGGGCGCAAAGAACATTCGGGGCTCATTAATTGAGAAATGTAGGTTCCGGGAGGTCGGGCTTCCGAAAACTCAGCTCTCTGGTCGGGTTGTGAGTCCCGTTCCGAAGGGACAGAGGCCCCGGGGTAATAATCACGACTTCTGCACAGCGCTTCCAGCAGCTGCTGGTCTTCGGAGTGAGCAGCTGGGTTGACAGAGCTCCTTCCGGTGGGGCACGGGTGGGTCCAGACTCCGGCCTTAGGAAACCTTGTCTCCAGCCGGGGACCCGGCCCGCACCCCATCTCTCCTGCCATCAACCCCCAACTCTCACAAGCAGGATTCCATCGAGTTCCCAGCACCCCTCCAGGCCCAGTTAGCCTCCAAGAGGCTCGAGGTCTCGGAAAACAAAGAGAGTGGACCCGATCCCCACTCCCTGCCCCCATCCCCCTTTCGGCAACAGGAGAGGACGGAAGATGAAAGGAGGCTGACCCATCGGATTAAAACCGCTCTCTTCCCAGCCTCTCCCTCCTCCTCCCTTGTGTCCTAAATGTTTTTATTATTGTCAGGAGTTGCCCAAGTCCCGAAGGTTAGCCAGCCGTGACAGTCGCCCTCCCTCGGTTCCCGGCCGCGGACACGGCGTGTAAGAATGGGGGTTCGGGATCCTGTGGATCTCGCCCTGGCTCTGCCGGCCAGCGGGGCGCCGAGCCTCGGCGCTCTAATCCGTGCAGTGGGATCACGAGCGGGGCGGGCGGCGCCGGTGCTGCCGGGTGCTGGGTGGGCGCGTGGGGGCCTCTCTCATTGTTAGCTATTGTCACCAACGGCATTGTTAGTATTACTTCAGGCCCCACCGCTCCCCCTCCTCCCGGGGAGAGGGTTCCGGGAGCCGGGATGGCAGGCTGGAACTAGCGCGCTTCCAGGTGGAACCCACCAGAGGCCGGAGGCAGCCCGGGGTTTTCAGAGATCAGACGCACTGGGGGGCCGGGTTGGGTGGAACTGGCAGGAAAATAACCGAATCCTTAGAGCCAGGAGGTTTTAGAAGCACCCGAGGCACGCAGTGGAAATCCCCACTGCAAGATTCATTCCATTTCTTAGGCGGCCGCCCTCCACCTGCCACGTTGCCTGTGATTGACTCAAAAACGCTGAATAAAGGACGGAGTAGGGCTGGAAACCCTCGCCGCTTGCCGGCCGCGGGGAGCGCAGCCCTGGAGCCTCGGGCGGACCGGCGTCCGGGGACCGCGTAGCGAACGGCGGTGCCGGGCGTCAGGACTTGGGGGCCGCGGGGGCTTGGCCAGGCCGCGGGAGGCGGGAAGTCCACCGTCCTCCGGAGCCATCTCCCTAAACTGATGTGCAGGACGGACAGGGCCGAGGGGCCTAGGGCCCGCGCGGTGACCCCGAGGACCGGGCGGCGCAAGGAGCAGACTGCCCACCCCGCCACTCGCCCCAGACGCCGCCTTCCCAGACCGCTCCAGCAGCGCCGGGCGTGGCCGTAGGGCTAGTGGATGTTTTGAAGGGGAAAAATCATGTAAATGCCATGTGCTTAATTAAAAACATAATTAATGAAGGATATGTTGGATGTCTGGGCAGTGGGTAGACTTCACAAGTATTTTGAAGGCGGCTGTTTGAACTTCAGAGACCACACCGGGAGCGGACGCGTACCCAGACCGCTTTTCCTAAAATTCGGTTCCCAGGGAGCACTCTTCGCCCTGGAGGGGACCCTCTGAGCTGAGGCAGGCCTCGCTGCGGCCAGAGGTGTGCTTCACTGTCTGTCTCTCCCGCTGCTTGCGTGCGGTCTGGCAGCAGATGGGAGAAGAGTATAAATAATAATTAACCAGAGAAGAATTGCAGTTTAGAAACGTGGTTAAAACAAGTCCTCAAACTGGAAGATTGGAGAGAAGGGAGACATTCTGAAGTCCTTTAGACATTTCGAAGGCATTAAAAAACTATGGGCGTTGATGGTTGAATCCAAGGGTCAGCATCGTAATCTGCTGGAGAACGAGATCCTGGCAGTGTCCGAGCGAGTCATTAATGGGTTTAATCTGATACACAGTCCAGCCTAACCAGTGGCCTGGCCTAAACAGTAGCGCAGGGCCTGGGCTGATTAGCATGAAGTCTCGGAATTTGTAGTTACTTCCACTTGGCATAGCGAGACACCACCACTCTGAACATGGTGGGATGGAGCCTAACGTGGTGGAAACGCGGAGCTGCCCCCCTCGCCAGAGAGCCGAAGCTTTTCCACCGCCTTATCTTCCGCAAAAAGCAAACGGGCTAGTGCTCTGTCCTTCTGCCCTGGTACCGAATTTATTTGGGTCTGGGACTAAGACTCTTGTGGGTTTGCTTTTCCAGTTCATTTTACAACTCTCTCTTGAATCAGGCCTCCCAAACTTAGCAGGTGCTTAAAGGACCCCCTGGAGGGGCTCATCAGGACTTGTGGTGAAAGTAGCCCCTACCTTCTATTCCACGGGTGTCATGGTGTTTGAAAAATATGGGCCTGTGGTTCAAAAGAACCTCACATATGCCAGGGTGGAGAAAACACCCACCATGTACATTTAAACTCTGGATATTGGTTTAAACTTTGAATTGTCTAAAATTAAACATATACATTATCTAATAAGCTTCACTTTTTTGATTTGGTTCAAGTCTGGTAGATTTTCATGAATTTTAATTACCTCAGTTTGAGAATTAAATTAGACAAATATTGTGTGATTACTATCTTTCATATAGAAATATGCCTTAGAACTTTGCAGTGGTGGAAACTCCTTCCCCACCTTGACTCTTCTTTCCACTTTTGGTTGTACAAAAATGAGTTGATTATTTTAATCCTGTGGCCACATCTAAAAAGTACAGTGTGTGGGTGGTTTAATAACGTTGGTAGTTCACATTTAGTAAATGTTTTCCCTATGTGCCAGGCACTGTTTCAAGTTTTACAGGATTAGCAAATTTAATCCTGTTTACAATCCTGTGAAGCAGTCCTTCTCCAGATGAAGAAACCCAGGCACAGAGAAGTTAAGCAACTTGCCCAAGGTCTCACAGTTAGAAAGCAGCAAAGCTAATATGCCGACCCAGGTGGTCCTGCTCTAGAGGTCACACTGTGCCATGCTCCCTCACTTCAGTAACCAAAACGTGAAGTTGATGGTTAATGATGGGTTCAAAATTGGGTTTGCTTTGAGTGAGTCTGGATTGCTCACGTTGTCATTCACCTTAGAGGAGTGTTAGATCCAGAACAGGCTAGTTACTACGTCCAAAGTTGGTTTATAAATTACAGTGAGGAGATTTACATCACTGTGTCAGTTTCATTTCTCTGCCTGCACAGAACAGTTAGAGTTACAAGAGCCATTAAAAATGACAGAAATATTCCTCCAGTATAAAGGCTCAGGAAACAGGGAGTGTCCCTACTGAGAGATCGATTCTCTTGTATTTGCCTGTTTTTAGGCTGGGAGGTGTGGGAAGACATAGGGTTAAATGAGATCTTCTAATACATCTTGGATGAATGTATTCAATTTTTTAAAAGTCCAGTGCCTCAGATCAAGACTGCAGACTTGTACATATTAATCAGAAGACAGTTACGACTAACACTTTGAGCAGATTTCTTTAGAATTCGATTCTGAAACCCAGTAACTCCAGAAATCTCTATTGAAAGCTAAAGCTGAAAACAGTAACTTTTCCTACATTTTTCCTACAGACTGCTTCTGTCACTAAGGGAAATGTTAAGATAAAATCTGATTGGGTATAATCCTTTTTGAAGTTAATTGCACTTTCTCAGTCCTGGAGTTTAAACCAAGTATTTAGCTCACTTCAAGCTCCTGGGTGAAGATCAAAAATCCACATTTGTATGCAACAATTTGAAATACAAACCATCATGTTACAAAGCTGTCAAGATTTATTAGCAAGACAGTGTAGCATGTGTTGAACTCTGTTTTTAATTAGGCCCCTAAATTAGACCATAAAATGGTTGATTAATCTTTTACAAGTTGAGGGGAAAATACAACATAAATTAACCTAATCATAAGTGTTTTCCCAGATGCTCTGAGTTAATAAAATAGTCAATATTTAATAGCAATCTATTTGCTTTAGATAAATAAAATGCTGAAATGTATGAATTACATTACACTTATCTTCCAAATGATGTTATTAGTGGTCTTCAAAAATAAGGTGGCAGCCCATGTCTTAAAAAAAATCTTTATCAAAA